GCCGCCGCGGCGCCGTGAAAAAACTGCGCCGCATACGCGCATGGGTGAGTTTTTCCCTCCTCCGAGGGGAGGGATCACTTCGCCACGCCGCCTTGTGCTCTCAGCAACAGTAGCTGCGGGAAGCTCGGATACGTGTCCATATATGAAACGATGAAGTCACTTATCTCAGGTCGGAGCGCTAAATTGCCAGGGGAGGACTCAACAACGCGTCGACATATGTTCTTACCTAAGCTAATCTGGGCGCATCGGAGCGCAGTGGCGCGACATTTTTCCCCGACCTGATGTAGAAGCCGTGCTCTCCCTCCCTACCCTCCGCCCGACTTCGCGAACTAAAGTAAGTTAGCGCTTACATCACTGGTTTTTATTTCTTAGAAAAGCCTGGGTTTAACCTGCTTTTTCGTAAAGCTGTAATGTCCGCTGCCTAGGGGTGGTTCTCACAGTCTGTGGACCATGCAAATCTAAGACGCATTTAGCCGTTGTGTGTATTTCTCCGTATCTCGGCCTCTAAATCGCCCCGGCATTCATTTGAGGAATGATGCTTTATAATTCTCGTTCGAATTTTTTGCTCTTTCAGCCGGACACGAATGTCGATGATGAGGACAGCCGCTTTCTCATGGACTGTCTGGATCTCCTTGTTGCTGCCGGGTATTTTCGTGCACGAATCAAAGGACTTGCTACATTTGACAAGGTTTCTTGCGGTTTCCTCAGATTATATGATTTATGAACTAAAATATAATGTAGTGCATCAATGGCTGCGCATAAGTGGAAGTCAAACTTTTATTTCACTTTTCTCTCCTCAAACTGATATTATACCTCCGATGCTTTCTGGTATAAATACCATTTTGAATTATCTCACTTGATGATGCAGAGGCATTGGAGGTTCCATCATTCGATCGCTGTTGCGAATTAGTTCTCTTCTAGCTGGAGAAATATGGGCTGCTCTGGTCGCTGCCAACCGCTCCAGGAACGCCGAAAACCTGGATGTCCCCATCCTGGTTTCGTCACGAGCGATCTCGTGACTCCGCCCCTTTTAGGGAAAAGGCCCTGCCGATCGGTAATCCAAAATAACACTTTTCCATTATAGATTGTTGGTGGTATGGTGTGGTGCTTGTCGCATTGCAATCAAAAGATCGATACTCATCTCGTGTTCAAGGAAAATCTAGATATAGGACAGAAAATGTATGATGCTGCTGTTCAATATGGTACTCGTTGGCACTTATTTACCCCTACATAAAATATTTCATTTTAGCAGCCTTACGGAGAAGGTGGTACGAGTTCTGACAGATTTACAATGCCCGCATCCCATCGAGCCACATCAGATTCAAGGACTCGATCTGCAGAATATTTATCCCGTTATTCAGGTAAGAAAAAGTACATATTGCTGTATGACGATAAATATTTTGTGAGGTTAAAACAGAGTGCTAGCAGTCAACTTGTAAGTGAACGTGGACTAGCCTTCTGAAAGCAGTGCCTCTACCTGGCTATCTACCAGCCAGCTACCTTTCCTTGAAGACACCGCTTGGGTAGTCTAGCGGGCGGGGCTGGGTAACGACGTCATTGGTGCGTTCCTGACTCCTAAGGAGGGAGGCGCAAACAATGCTTTTTGCTGGCTCAGCCGACTGGTACTTCTAGACGGGTTCTTAGGACCATGCTTCGTTCCATTTTACAGTCTAGCCGCTGACGTTTATGTTTTCTACTAATCTCCGTTTCGTTTATCGCATTACCTCGTTTGCAGCAGGTC